CAAGAAATTAAACGGCTTCAGCTTCTTACAGTCATCAGCGATGTATGGTTTTTCGGAAACCTATGAACTTAGCCAAGGGAAGCCACATAACTACACTTATGAACACATGCACCGATACATCTCAAAAGAATGTTTATGGCAGTAGTTTTTTTGAATTGATCTTATATTGTGGCACAGTGAACTGTGTTTTTAGTAAGTTCCAATACATTTGTTCTAAAACTAGCTCAGAATCGTTTCTTTAAATGGTTCTAAAATAAAACTTTTTTATTAGAAAGAAATTGGGGCATCATTATTGTGATAGAAAGTAAACTATTATCTTGCTCTTGAACTTACATATACTATATTGGTTAAAAGTATAATATTAATAAAAAGCCAATGTTACGAGAAACGGTGGTGATATTCTAAAACTTTGCTTCATCAAACTAGTGTCCCCCCCCCCACTACAGTTTTATTCTTCATAATACAAACCGTTCTAGAACTTTCCAGTACTTTTGCTAAACTTTGGTCAACTTTACATTTTTGTTAGAGCGGTGCCGGGCGTGCCCTCTTTGGTTTACATTATGTATTTATAGTGACCTCACCTGTCAAGCTTATAACATTTAAATAGTGATTTTTGTTTGACTTGGACATTTGCATAATAAGCTCCCACCCCTTCTTAATGGAGTCTTTACCGCCGGGTCTGTAGTCTCTAACAATATTCAAGTTTTCATGAAGGTTATAAAATGCACTCCACTGTGACGAACTAGGATGTTATGATAATGTTCCTTCTTTCTAAAATAATCAGTTTTCACAGCATTACTGGTCCACTACCATGTTTCACTGTTTTACTTACGCACACTTATTTACATCTCCGCAGAAAAATGTTTAGTTTCCAAAAAAAAATATCAAGCTTTATTTCGTCAGTACATAGTACATTAAACCATTTGTTTTTCTAATGTTTGAGATCCTTGGTAAAATTAAAAAATATTAGGCTTTTTTTTATTATAACATTTCCATAAAAGTATTTTCTTGCAACTGTCTTCGAACAGTTGTATTGCTAACAGTTCTATTCTAACTCCACGCTTATCAAGTATTTCCGTTTTTGTTTCTGGGAACTTTTGAATTAATTTGATGCTAACATTCTTCCAGTAACACTGCACTTCATCTGAACAGGGCCATCTTAACAAATGGATCTATAGGAACCATGGCACAGCGGGCAAGAGTGAGTCATCGCTGTGGAATGCCAATTATCTAGCTAATGTGTTTTGCATTATCACTACTACACTAATAATAATATACACCATATGTAGCAGTTTGTACGGTGGTATGGGTCCTCCCCGAAATTAGTCCGAGCCCAAGGGTCTCCATACTTGTTAAGACGGCCCGATGTTGTTGTTTTTTGGCATCACTTTCTTTTTTTAACCAGTTGCATCAACGCGTTTTAATGTTCAATGAGCTTCATTAACCCTTAGAAACACTAAGTTTTGGGACAGTATGCCTTTGAGTTTCCTTGTAGTTACATAAAACAACAATTTTTGCTTGTTTTAAGTTCGGAATGAAACTTTCTTTAAAAAAAAATTGAAAATATATACAACTACCTAATTTGCACATTAAATAAGATTTATTAAAAACAGGGCACAGCCACAAGAATAAACTACATGTTTCGATGACTTTCTACGCTACCGTTGTCGGGAGTAATAATTCAAGTTAGAACTGGTTTATATAGCTACATCACTTCTAATTAACATAATCATAATTTTGATGTGGCATAGAACACCACTGAGTCACTGGTATGTTGATCCACAATATATTTACAGTGATTTTTTGTGCCTTCAACCTAAACTACTTGTCCAAAATAACGAAAAAGCAGAATTAGTAATAAGCAAATTTAGAAGAGCATGCTTCAATAATAGATCTTTCGGTGTGATATACTATTCATAGAACATACTAGATCTATAGATTTTTAAAACCTATTATTTTAGTATTGCCTTACAATTCTTACTGATAACTAAAGAGAAATCTGCAGCTCTCTTATTTTAAAAAACAAAATTTCAAAAGTTGCAAAAATGTGGTAACGGCTTTAAGAACCAAAATCAAAATATAAAAACAGTTTTGATCAATGACAAGATAAATATAGTATTCAATATATAGAATAAGCCCATTCTTTTTACGGCTATTGTTTATTCTTCTATTTTATTAAATACATATTCCACTTTAAATGTTTTTAAATTATTCTTCTTTGTTTAAACAGTAGTTTTATATATATTTGTATCCAACCATGGTGACAAAGCCAGAAAATGTCAGTAGTAGTTCTTCTTGTTCCTAGTCATTTATTATATGGCTTCTGTACGTAGATTAGTGAACGAGAGTACACATATATATATATCTTGTGTGCTGAATGCGTTGGCTTATTATTTCTCACTGACTATTATTGTTGTTTTGTACTGTTATCTTAAGAAAAATAGCCATATTCACTTCTTTTTAAAATGATGGCTGCCATATTACATATTGTGTTTGAATTGAACCTTGAGAACTGGAAATAACCGCTTTATAAACGTGAAGATAAAAAAATTCACACAGAATAGTGTGTGATATGACTATTCTATCTAAAATACAAAGATTATTATAAGTATTTTCGTCAATGAATCATAATATCGATAATATACCATTAAAACATTTTAACACAACAAGACAAGGGTATTGCAATAAGTTAACTGTAAAAAGAAAAGAAAAATGTTCGTAGAATTAGG